TGTGTGTGTGTGTGTGTGTGTGTGTGTGTGTGTGTGACGTGCAAATGCTATCAACCTTCAGTTCCAAAGACATCACACAAATAGGAACCCTCAAAGAACTCTGAGTTTTATTTTAAAAATAGAGATCGCCGTTAGCATTGCCTAAACACTAACACTTTAGGAAGAATACCTTTTTAATCTTTTGTAATACATTTTTAAAAACTTTCAGACTATGTGACAGGAACCTTGTAATTTCACATTATTTGACCAAAAAGAAAACAAAACACCCCCCCCCGAAAAAACACCAATACAGATAGCGCCAGTTTAAAAAAAAAAATTAAAAAAAATTATAAACCAACATACATGACTATCTATGTAATAAAACGTGTTATCAACTGTAACAGTGTAATATTATATTAACATTATAACAGTACATGTTCTCAAAACTATTGTCTTGGTGCGAAGTCAATCATTTCGTTGAACCCTAAAGTGCAAACTAAACGTTCCTTTATAGACTTCACAACTCTTTGCTCACGTATCACAATCTTGCTCAGCCTTAATGTGACACATCTTTCATTTAACTGTGACCTTGGCGACGTACCAGTCGAGCTACAGTTGTGGCTCTTTGATTTATAGGCTAATTACATGTTGGCAGAAAAACATAGAGAAAGAAAACGTGTTGAATCGATGGGTTGGTCGTCTCTATTTATCATGTATTCTCTGTATTATATAGAACAAAATAGTTATCCGACCTTCGCTAGCCATTTTCTCAGTTTGGGAAAAAAGATTGGTTACCACTCCTCTTGTGCACTGTCCAAGGAGGGGGAAGGAAAGTCAGACAGAAAAAGAGATGGGAAGAGAAAATAACGGAATGGATAGGTTTAAAGTTGGGTGAAGCCCTTCGAAAGGCAGAAAATAGAGAAGGATGGAGAAAAGTGGTTGCCCGATCATCCCTGGTGCCTCTACGATCATCTAGAGTAAGGGATTAGTAAGTAAGAGCTCTAGGGATAAGTCAGGATTTGTAAGGGGTTTACAAAAGAGGAAGGGGTTGTTCTGGTTCTGTCTAATTCATTACGCAGTCAAAGAAGCGGGAAAGCTGAGGTACAATGGGCTTCTTCGGGTGTCTGTGAGCCTCCATGCTGGAAAAAGGGTACTGCAGGATATCGTCAGTCTGTGTTGTTTGGGTTCCATGAACTGATGTGGAAATCATTACCCGATTAGACAAATACCAGGCCATGAATAGTGAATAATATGTGCACATTGTTTTTACAAGATTCAAACACGGGGAATGTGCTGAGAAAACGGCATGATATGGCCAGGAGTTCAGCTGTTTCTATATTTTCTCTAGTTTTAGCAAAATGACTGTAGGCAGATTTGGATTAAAGGTAACTCTTTTTTTGGTTTTCTGTTTGGTCGTTTTATGTTCCGTCTCTATTTTTTGTGAACACCCACACCCGTCTCTCGGTTGGTATCATGATGAACGGGAAGACGGACTATCGTGGTTCAAATCCGGGTCGGGGCATTTTTGAACTCGTGTTGTTGAAGAGTTTCCCAAGCTCGCCACTCACCACCCTCTTGGCTCTGCCCTCTGATACCACAACAAAAATATGGAAGACGGACCTTGATTCGCCATAGGCTTCAACCATTGTTTAAACTTTCAAATGGATGATTGATGAAGTAATATAGTCTCATCTAATCTACTGGGGCTACAGTGGCTGAGTGGTGAGTGAGCTCAGGTCAGCCACAATGCCAAGTGTGAGTCGGTAACACGGCATTTGAGTAGGTGGTCAGTGGAGTATGTCCTTGAGCAAGACCCGATAACCCTAGCTCAGAAACAGGGTGCAGAGTAGGCCAGCAATATTTGTGATATTATTTATCATTCGTGAATTTATGTATTAGTTTATGTATTTGTGTATTAGTGCACACCATTATAAAACAAATTTTCCGACGAGGTCTAAAAAATGAATTTGAATTGAATTTATCTATTTAACTCTCATCCAGCCGTTCTTGGTATCAGCTATCTCCGGTACTCCGCTGCACTCACCCTCTATCTACCTACAAGAAGATGTACGAAGTCAAGAATAAAGTGGTCTTCATCACAGGAGGGGCGCAGGGACTTGGAAGGGCCTACGGACAGGCCGTGTTGCAAAAGGGCGCAAAGGTTAGGTTTGATTATGTGTTGTTGTTCCTGGCGGTGGTGCTGAGGTTGTTATCTGTTGGTGGTTGTTATTGCTATGACTATTCTATTGGGGTTGTTGTCATTGGTGCTTGTCATTGTATAGGTTAATTTCCCATCTTAGCTTTTAGTTTATTTCAGAGGCAAAATCTTCGAACTGAACGTCCATCTCCGATAAGACCGCGAAAAATGTGTGGACAGCCTTGAAAACTCTCTGAACGACCCAATTTCAGTTCGATCTGTTCGGGAAATCTAATCCGGGTCATCAGTTTCGTAATCCAGTGAGATACCAACTGAGCTAACGGAGCGCCCGGGTAGTTGTCGTGGTTGGAAAGATGGTAACTTTTGCGGTGGCGTAGGTGGAGTTGTTAATGCTATGGGTGGGGGAATGGCGGAAGGGGAGAGAGCATGGTGGTAACGATAACTGATGATAATTGTGGTGGTTACTGCGGTATTTTGCTGGCAGTGTTACTGGTGCGGTTTTGTGGTTTGATTGATGGAGGGGGTGTAATTGTTGACTGGGGGATAATGATTGTAATGGTTTTTAGATTGGTGCGGACGGTGGGAATTGCTGATATTGTTGGATTGGGGATGGGAGTATGGAAAAAGGTCTGGGGTTTGGATTTGTGATTATGGCAACACTGATGTTGTTTATTTACCCAAACAAATAACGGAATACAACCCCTCACCCTAAAAACCCCCACCCCTCCACCCCACCCCCGCAACAACAACAACAAAACAAAATCAAAAACTAAAAACCTCTGTAAAACGTATATAAATAGGAGTTTGAAAATTAGGAAGTCGAAACACTGTGTTTCCAGATGACTCATAGATATATACGTGACAGACAAGAACAATGTGGAACTCCTTCCGATTAGAATTTGAATAGAGACTGTGATAAATATTCTCATAGAAAACTGAAGTTTAAAGCGTGAATTCGAACTTGGGCGCGAGAACAGAAGCCTTATTGTGTAAGCTAAGGGAACGGCCCTTTGTTCAAATGGAATATCATCATCATCATCATCATCATCATCATCATCATCATCATCATCATCATCATCATCATCATCATCATCATCATCATCATCATCATCATCC